GGACAGAGACAAAGCAACAACTGGTTCTGACAAAATGGCCCCAGGCCCACCACGTTTCCGGACAGTTCCACAGGAACCAGCATGAACGATCTGGGACTGACTGACTGGAGGACGAGGGTCTGGGAGGGTCCCACGGACGATCTGGACGAGGCAGACCATGGTCCGGGTATCGTAAACAAAACATGACTCAAACACACATCTACACATGTCCAGAAGTCAGGACAACACAAACACAAGCACTCATTTGGGGATGGATGTGATCATTGACGTATGCACAAATTTAGACTATTCTAAAGTTTAGAGTAGCTTGACAAACCCTATTGTCAGAGGGAAAAAAAACAAAAGAAGAGAAAAATAGAGTGGGGGATAGGTTACTTTAATCAATTCCGTGGGCCACATACTCCTTGATTAAGGACTTTATTTTTTTACATAAATTCCCCGAATGGGTGAATCAGAATCAGAATCAGAATCAGAATCATTTTTATTGCCAACGTAAGTAACGGGAGGTCACAGACTTGGAAATTGCTTTGGCTCAGTGCAACAGTCAAAAAGAGATAATAAAAATAAGAATAAAAAACACTTCTAAAGAATAAATTTAAATTTAAAATAGAGTTACAGTTACTATTTACAATATACAAGTGCACATGGTGCACACAATGTAAGGTGACAGCAGTACAGTGAAGTAAAGTGAAGGACACATTCTTTTCTTTAGAGGCGAAACATGACAAAGGAATTTTTCATAAATCCATTGAAATGTTCTGAATAATCTGAAGGTTGTGAGTTAAACAGAGTTTCTGTGTTTTCAAATTGCCCAGTTGTTTTCCACAGCCGAGACTAAATCTGTGGTCTGTGTGTAAAAATAAGAAATAAGATGGTAAAAATCCCTTGTAGTATAATAGTACTCTGACAGAAGTTGTCTGTCTATAATGTATTTGAATGTAAATTGTCACCAAATCCCACAATCAATTTAGTAAATGTAATGTTTTAGTCAGACGACCTGAGGTTTTCATAACTTTGGAAATATGCATTGCTCGATTGTGATGTAGAAAACAGAGTTTGGGGTGAATGTAACTGGTCTGAGAGAGAGAGAGAGAATGGTATGAGAGAGATAAGGACAATAATGACCCACAGCACACACACAACATTACACATTGTTTCTGTTAGAGCCTAGAGCCGCAGAGTGGGAGGGGCTTGTAGTTTTGGGAACAGAAGTGTGAAAGTGTGTGATTGTCATAAAACAGCTGAAAAGACATTTTCAGCCAAAACATAGAGACGTGGAGAGTTCGACTTCTACGTCACAGAGAGACAGTGCCAGACGTCAGAGCGACTGCTCTGAAAATGAAGCATGTTAAATAACTCTGGCAGAGGCTGGAGTAATCATTGCAGAGGCGCAAACAAAGTCATCTTTGCAATAAACAAAATAAACCAGGAGCAAAATAGGTCCAAATCGTTTATCTATTTTCCTCATGAGGACTCCAAAAATGTTTAAAGCCAAGTATTTTTGTTGTTGTAGTGGTAGACTTGGCAAATGCATATTTTTGTAATTCTAAGGTTTTTATATTTTTCCTTCAATAGGTGCACGAAGGCCAAAGGGGGACCCCAGTTTTTTTTTTTTTTTCCTGTATTTTTGTAAATGCAGCATTGTGTGACTTTAGACTGCACTTGTTTTAGTCAGTTTTCATTTTAGCAACAGTCAGTAATGATAAGATTAAGAGATTTTCAGACGTCCCACAGTGGGGACATTTCAGTGTTGCATTACAACACAAGACAGGTGAATAGTAAGTGTAGCACAACTCTATACTTTTGAATGTAAAATAATTTGGCTCGGTAAAGGTACAAGGTAAAGTATTGTGTACTCTAGTGTAAATAAATGTATACTTGTATTTACACATCTGTAAATAAATCTAGAACACTCTCTAGGTCAAGAATATGGAAATGGTAAGTCTTTAACACTGTGACGATGCTACAGTACACGTATTAAAACCAAGAATATTATAAGTCTGTTTCCTACTCAAAGAACATATGAACACGTACCACTCGTTCATTTTGTGTATTTGACATACACATACAGCAGCACACACATATATGTATTTGCAGACACATGTTTACAGTAAAAGTAAGGGGGACATGGTCAATAAATGAGGATTGTGTTGTGTGTGTCATATATGGGTTTCACATAAAGCAGTATTTACCATATGTTTGGATACGTTTTCAATAGTTTTTAGTTGTTAAATGGTAGAGACCCCACATACACCAGGTGGTTAGTGTAGTTTTATTTATTTTAAACTTTAACTTGTTAATATTTTTTGTTTAAATTCAAGTGTATAGTATAGCTTTGAGTATTAGGATATTATTCAGTTTGTCAAAGCTCTGTAATGCTGTGACTCTTGAGGGTGATAAGAGCAGAGGTCTGACAGACAAAACAAACGCCAAGGCCGAAAGTAATGAAGTGTTGAATCTTCCCAGTTTGTGGATACACATTTTTCTTTAACATTATGAAGGTATTTAGAATAGTTTAATAGATTTAACAAAGTTTGTTAAGTTAACAATTCAGGTGGTTTTTCCAACACATTAGAAGGTATATGGTAATTTTCCAGAGGGAGTTTGTTTTAAAAAATTAGGAATAATGCCTTGGGGTTCAAATTAACCTTGCAATTAAGACTGCCAGTTTATACTAAATTATAATTGAGAATCATTTCAGAAGACACTAAAATGTCTGGCGGACCACAATTGGCCCACAGGCCTGGTTTTTGAACACCTGCAGGTCTCCATGAGTTTTCATCTTGATACACAATCATCAAAACACTTAAGTTCATTTGATCTTTAGGATATAGGTTGTTGTTTTACCAACATAGAATAATTAGTTAGTGAGGCCTGACTAGTGTGAGAGACTGCACATGTAGGAGAGCAGACAGCAGCAGAATGCACTTATCTGCTCTCCAAGGCTGGAGAGAAGAGTGTTTTGAAAACTCAAACTGATAACCCATGAGTAAAGTGATATGGAGACCATTATTATTATTATTATATAGACTGAGGCTAAGCCCTGGCAGCGCAGACCCAGAGGACAGGCAGGGGGGGGGCAAATAACCCTTTTTGCCAAAACATTATTTCAGAAACGTGACCAACCCCTCCATGAGGAGGGGTCACATCTCCGAGAGGGAGACACGGAGCGCCATCACGCCTTGGCCACGGGGGTCGAGCCAGAGAAGGGTCTGAGTCCGGCGAATGCCAGGAGGAGCCCTAACCAAAAGTGCCGGGGGCACCCCACCGCGAGGGTCGACGCCCCATCATGGCCCCAGCTGCCCAGAGCCAAAGGGGACCAACGAGAAGGGTCTGAGGACCTTCTCCAACGCAAGGATGCAGCAAAGAAGTGGGGGCGGCAGTGCCCGACTTCCAACGCAGAAGTGGAGCCGAAGCAGGAAGGCTTGCTCCCCAACGGCCGAAGGAAGGGACCACCTCGAGGGTCCCCACGACAAAACTTGGTCTGCCTTCTGACCAGGTGTTACACAGATAGAAGCTCTGAGCCATGGGTCAGGTACATTGTTCCCCGCTTTTTCACGCAGCGGAGTCAGAGACTGGGACGATCGGCTGGTCTGACCTGGAGGCCGGGACGCCCACCCCGAGGATGGGGGTGGACTGAGAGAGGCTATCTCAGCATTGCGTCAAAACGGGCTTTTGAAACTGTTTTGTGTACGTTTCAGGATTAGCACAACTTAGCATTGGTTTGTGGTACACATATATGCTAGGGTTTTCAAGCATTGATAATCAGTACACTAACTCTGATGCTCCCACCCACTCTGACCCCATGTGGAAAGCACAGGAGGTCAGAAAAGTGTGAGGCATCCATGTTTAAGGTTAAGTGTTACAGATCTAATGACAAAGCATTAGACCCAATAGATTGGCTTGGACTTGGAACCATCTTTGGACCAGGTCTATTTTAAATCCACATACTCAGGTTCTACTCTCAGGGAGAGAGAGAGTGCACCCAGCACTGCTGGAGTGTCTACTGTGCGGGCACAGCGTCGATTCTGGGAGAGGTGAGGGTCGGCTGATGACCCATCGGGTCCAGTAACGCCTCGTCTCCCCTGGGCAGACGTCTGTGACCCAGTCAGGTGATTCATCTAAGCAAGTATATAAGTGTGGGTTTTAATATTGTAATAAAGTTAGTTAACTATTGTGTGTGTTTGCTCAAATGTTCAGATTTTGTGTTAATTCATAATCATTGTGATTTCTATTATTATTTTAAGTTGATTAAGATAAACCAAGGTTTTATATTTATCAAGAGATAGGATTGTTATAGAAATATTTTAGTAAAGCAATCTGAATTAACACCAAATAGTTATGAGTGTAAGTTATTAGCTAATAGTCAACTCTGGATTCAGATACAGGCCATGATGCTCTGTTGGCTCAGGTCAGTGATAGATGGAGACGTGCTGCATCATGTCTTTGACCTGGGTCATAGAACAATATGTTCAGTTCAAAAGCAGATTGTTACATCTATCAGAGTTGTATCAGCGTTAGGAGGCGTAAAGAGAAGCCTTGAGCAACACATATCAATGTTGACTTCATCTCTGTAATATCTAGAGTAGATATGTGTTTGTTTACTCTGGTCTATTTAATGTACAGTTATTTCCTCAATCGGGGCAGTCGATTTCGGACGGCTGCCCGGTGGTATTGGTATCGGTTCTGTTATTCATTGTAATTGTGCACATTTACTAATGAATAAACTCACACTTTGTTTGGAATTACAGCTCTGGGTTGTTTACATTATTTTACTCTTGTTATGTGCAGTAATTCTACAACAATTGTTTCATTGGAAAATCTTGTTATAAGACAGTCAGAATGTACTTAAACTAAGATAAAAACCACTTTATTTGCGCATTTATCACCTCATATTTTATCATTTTCTGCAGTGAAGTTCCGTTCATTATGGCTTGAGAGTTACAAACCCCAGCTTGAATAAAGAATGAATTATCAAACGGTTTGGACCCGTTTCGTACCTGCAGTACAATAGGCAGCTGCTCCGGAGGGTTCCTGTTTTCCACTCCCATCGTCAGCCAGACGTCGAACGCCGTGAGCTGCTCGGCGAAAAACGGGCTGGGCTGCGGGGGGAAAAAGCGAAATATCAATGCTGTGTCATCATTTCAAATAATTTATAGTGTCACACATAGACAGGGAGAGCAGATAATGAAGCCGTCAGTAGTGGTCTCTCTCTGCAGTGAACCAGTGACATAAATCCTGATGTTTCCATTATCACTTATCCCAGACCCATCCCCCCCTCCCCTTTTTCTTTCTTAACAAGTTTTCTCCCAGACTTCTTTTCCCATCTCCCCATTTCCTCATCTTTGTACTGCGGCTGATTGATTGGTCGCGGGTCGCAGAGGATTTGATCAGAGCGAGTGTAAATATTGCACGGGGAATTATTTGAAGACAGCCCTGTAAGAAGCGTTGATGGATGTGAACAAGGAAATACCAGTGCTTCCCGGTCGGATGGCTAAATTAATTTGTGCATAATTAAACTAATAGGTCTATGCACACAGCGGGCGCAGTCGGTGAAACGTGGAAAGTGGGTAAAGAGAAATACCTTCATTATAAGCCACGACAGACGGCTGTATTAGATATTTACATTATTTATTACATTTGGGCAAATACATAAATCTAATTCAGCAGAGCACAACTGGATCGACTATGGGAGTGGTTTTGTAATATAATGTAGAGCCGTAATGACAAAGGGAAGGAGTTTTGTTCAGTTTAAGTCCCAATGTGCAACTTTTTAGACGGAAAGTTATTGAATTACATATTATTTTTCAATCCTGTATTTTGAGAACTCCTTGGTGTTCTTTTTGTGACAACTGATAAGGATTAAGATTAAGAGTGAAGAGCACACAGCACAAGATAAATGTACAAACTCTATACTAAAATAATAAAATGTAATCTTTAACTCTAGCATAAAAAGCGGCATAAAATAAACATCTTTAGCATAATAAGGAAAGAAATCTAAAATCTCCAATGTTAGCATGATGAAGAAGCAAGACTTAAGTACAAAAATCCCTGAATTATTCTAGTCCGATCCAAAAGTTATACCAGGATTCTTTTGTTTTTTTGACCTTTTTCCACTGGAAAAATGTAATGTATGTTCACTGTAAAACAGTTCATGTACTTTTGTTGTATAAGATGATTGATGAAATTGTAATCATGAAAGTGTGCTGTCAACCTACCAATGTTAAAAAGGGGTAGGCCCATATAAGCTTAATTTTTGCATCTGTCTACTTTTGAGCCCTCTGTATAATAATTTGCTTGTAATGTGAGTATACGTCGAAGCGCTCAATAAACAATAAACCAAACCAAACTAAACTTGGTGTGATAATAAGCAATTATAAAATTCTGTATATTCTAGTGCAAGTAAAGTATAGTTCTGCTGTGTTGTTTTATATACGATATACATAAGAAATCCCAACATGTGTTACAATCCCAAAAATAGTTGCTAGTGACTTCACAGTTTAGTGAAGCAAAGTATAAACCAGGGAAAAGCCGTTTGACTTTCGTTACATCACCAAAGTTCACACTGTGCACAGAGGCACACTGGATCTGTCTGGGATCACGTCCAGCAGAGAAAGGTAAGAATATCAGAGAGAATTAAAGCTTTGTGAACCAAGACGGAAGACACGCCACTGAGCTCTTCTCTAGAGTTCCCCAGAGGCTCAATTAGGGATCTGGTAAGTGTTTTCGACTGGAGTGCAACAAGGCAGAGGGAGAGGAAGGAAACCGCCCTCCAGGGAGCCATCGTGAACATGTCCACTCCACAGCAGCAGGTGGAAGACGAGACAAAAGTGCATCATCAGGGAGAGCTGACTGCAAGACTTTTGTGATTACTTTGTCGCCGCCGTAAAAAACAGACGAGTCATACATGCAGTAGGAGAACTTTTACTACTGGGCGGATTCAGCAAAGAAGTGAGGGGAGAAAGATTGATAGATATTTATACCTGTAGTAAGAACATTTATGGACATTTATCAACACTTGGGGACATGGGTCATCTGCCCTTTATGGACCAATATCAATGTGTTTTCTGTTCTGTTTCTGATATGCGTTTTTGTAAAGTCCTCCGAGATAACCACTGGGCGGTACGGTGGCTGAGTGAATAGCACTCTCGCTTCTCAGCAAGAAGGTCCTGGGTTCGAATCCTGGTCGGAACAGGGCCTTTCTGAGTGGAGTTTGCATGTTCTTCCCGTGTCTGCGTAGGTTCCCTTGGGTGCTCCGGTTTCCCCTACCACTAAAAATATGTACAATAGGTCTGGCATGCGCCTCCTGTACTGGCGACCTCACTCCCATCTCTGTGTGGAGTGAGAGACAAGTGCCAAAAAAATATCAATTGTAAACCGCTTTGTGACTCTGGTGAAAGGCGGTATATAAATAAAGATTACTTACTTAGTTACTGTTCTGATTTAGTGCAATACAAGAATACATTTAATTGAATAGTCCCATGTCAACCTGAATTTCTCTGATAGTCTCCTTTAAGTAATTCATTAACTATTTTACTAGTATAAGAAAGCGAACAAACTCAAAAGAGTTCAAGAAGAGTACAGCATATAGCTTGGAGAGGGCATACCCCCACCAACACCAAAGTTCCTCCTTAAACTTTTAAAGGAATCTTCCTGCCATTACTTCCCATTTATGCATTTCAGCTCTAGTCCACTAGTTTTTTTCACAACTCTGCTTACAGACAATGGAAATACGGATGAAAAGTAGCATACATGGCTAACACTGGCATGTCTAGCTAACCCTTAATGTGCATTGATCCAATTTAAATAAACTTGACCTCCCCCCGTTGGGCAATAAGAAACTCGCAATTAACAAAGCTAAATACAGTGCCTTGCGAAAGTATTCGGCCCCTTTGAACCTTTCAACATTTTGACACATTTCAGGCTTCAAACATAAAGATATAAAATTTTATTTTTTTGTCATGAATCAACAACAAGTGGGACACAATCGTGAAGTGGAAGGAAATTTGTTGGATAATTTAAACTTTTTTAACAAATAAAAAACTGAAAAGTGGGGCGTGCAATATTATTCGGCCCCTTTACTTTCAGTGCAGCAAACTCAGTCCAGAAGTTCAGTGAGGATCTTTGAATGATCCAATGTTGTCCTAAATGACTGATGATGATAAACAGAATGCACCTGTGTGTAATCAAGTCTCCGTATAAATGCACCTGCTCTTTGATAGTCTCAGGGTTCTGTTTAAAGCACAGAGAGAACCATGAAGACAAAGGAACACACCAGGCAGGTCCGAGATACTGTTGTGGAGAAGTTTAAAGCCGGATTTGGATACAAAAAGATTTCCCAAGCTTTAAACATCTCAAGGAGCACTGTGCAAGCAATTATATTGAAACGGAAGGAGTATCAGACCACTGCAAATCTACCAAGACCCGGCCGTCCCTCCAAACTTTCATCTCAAACAAGGAGAAGACTGATCAGAGATGCAGCCAAGAGGCCCATGATCACTCTGGATGAACTGCAGATAACTACAGCTGAGGTGGGGATGGTGTGTTCAAGGTGATGAGCTGTGTTGCTTTTACGCCAAACATATCGTTTTTCAGTTTGGTTTCATCTGACCAGAGCACCTTCTTCCACATGTTTGGTGTGTCTCCCAGGTGGCTTGTGGCAAACTTTAAACGAGACTTTTATTGGATATCTTTGAGAAATGGCCACTCTTCCATAAAGGCCAGATTTGTGCAGTGCACGACTGATTGTTGTCCCATGGACAGACTCTCCCACCTCAGCTGTAGTTATCTGCAGTTCATCCAGAGTGATCATGGGCCTCTTGGCTGCACACAGGTGCATTCTATTTATCATCATCAGTCATTTAGGACAACATTGGATCATTCAAAGATCCTCACTGAACTTCTGGAGTGAGTTTGCTGCACTGAAAGTGAAAGGGGCCGAATAATATTGCACGCCCCACTTTTCAGTTTTTTATTTGTTAAAAAAGTTTAAATTATCCAATAAATTTCATTCGACTTCACGATTGTGTCCCATTTGTTGTTTATTCATGAAAAAAAATTAACATTTTATATCTTTATGTTTTAAGATTGAAATTTGGCAAAATGTTGAAAGGTTCAAGGGGGCCGAATACTTTTGCAAGGCACTGTATGTAGATATGATAATATAGATAAAAATACAGTTATGCACAACTAACATTTACTTTTGTCAGACCCATTTTGATTTTTTTTTTTATTCTGATGAAATGTGATGACTTTCCTTCGGTTTGCAATACTGCCTGACCCTATATATTTTTTCTTATATTACTCCCCACTTCACATGGAGCCTTTCTCACTCAGAGCCTCGATTATGTGTGTCCAAAATCCCATTTTTCCATTTATATAAAACAATATTAGACGTGACCCAGTAAAAGCAGCGATCATCAGCTCAATCAGCGCCCCATAGTGTTTCCATTACACCCGGCTCCTCCATCACGGTCCCCTGCCATGTCAGTGAATACGACTCTACACCAGTGGCTCAGAGTGCAGGCCCAGTGCTTTCAACGGCCATAACTCACTCCACACTCGCACTTGAGTTATTAGACTTGACATTTTACAACGTTACCCACTGGGAGAGAGGCGTGTGCGTTTTTGAGAGATTAGCTACAGTAGGCGCTGGCGGTACAGAAGTTGCAGTGCAAACAAGAATGGCTGCGTTGAGTTTTACTGGCATCTAAAATAAAAGCAATCCATCAAAAGAAAGATGTCCCAAAACCGCTATCCTAAATGCCCACTCAGACGATGGCACATAAAAAAGTCAAAGAGTGAGGCGTCTTCACCTGAGTGAGTTTAAAGAAAAGGCTGATGGGCCTAAAACGCAACACTTACTCTGAAGGCGGTCCCCTCCTCGATGATGGTGGGCAGCTGAGAGAGACAAATGTCCACGGCCAGGTCCCAGGCTTGCCTACAGACACACACAGACAACGTTCGTCAGAGGAAGGGGATAGAAACAAGGCAGCTGTCTAAAAAGTGTTAAAAATGTCCTACAAGAAAAATGTCAATCAAACAGTTCAAACTCAGGGAATCAACATTTATGGTCATCTGCCATTTATGGACCAGGGACCAATGTCCAAATGAATGCTATGTTCACTCATGGGAGTTGTATATTGATATTTAATTAAATATTGCTACACAGACAGACTTTTTTGTTTTGTGACCTAACATCTACAGCAGACTTGGGAAAACTGTGGGCTGGGGGCCACATGCGGCCTGATTCACGATTCTTTGCGGCCTGGACCCTTTAAATGTATTCAAATGAATATGATTCAATACCAAATGAAGGTTTTTAGTCATGGCCTCATTTAAAGCCCTTTTTTCCAAGACAAAAAAAAACATTTATTTTGTTCTAAAAATTAAACCAAAACATATTACAAAATATTTAGACCAAAACATGAATCTGTAAAATCCGTCCACTTCTTCACCTTTGGTCCAGGTTTGGTTCATTCCAAGCTAAAACAAAACCTTTTTAACTGAAGTAACTTGAGTAGTAGTAACACATAGCCTTTTTAAACCCTGTTCTTAAATTTGTGTTTGTTTTTCTGGTGATGTAAGTGGAAAATATATTGTGCATGTTTGAAATAAATAATCTAAGACGGTCCAAATATACGTAAATATTAATTGTAAAAGTTCACCATAGTACAATAAATTGTTAATGAAGTAAACCTGTATTTTTCTGGTAAAGTCAAAGCATTAAAAAGTGTAAAATCTCCATTATCCATAGGGCCCAATCATGATTTTTTATTTCTATCATTAAAGAAAAATGTTCTTCCTTTTTGGGCGTCTCTTCAGCTGTTGATCTGCTTGCTCATCATTGTGCACTAGCAGCACTCAGTATTCCCAGTTTGGGGTCTGGAGCAGGGCAGTGTGAAGCCTTTAATCCCCTCCTAAACACCAGTGCGCTCTCATGGTCATCATATCTTATTCATAGACTTATGTAACTCACATCAAACCGTATGTCTTCTCTTTTTGCCCCCTATGCCTTTCCTTTTCACCGCACTTGCTCCACTCATTTGCCTTTTCTGGCCCTGAAGCTGAAGACACTGATGGAGCTTAGGATATAGTCAGTTAAGCGAGGATTGTGGCACTGCGCTGTAATACAAGGCTGAATTACAGGTGGAATAGAACAAGATAAGATCCTTTATTCGTACCACAGTGGGAAAATTTCAATGTTGCAGCACACATACAGGACAGTAGTAAGAGCACACAGGGAGCACACAAAAATACAATATATGTAGCTGCTAATTTTCTAAACTAGCCGTAAATGCTTCAATAACAATAAATAAATATCTATCTATATTGTATATAGTGCATAGGTATATACCGTACATGCAGGGCAGGATAATAAGTAGATTAAGTGAAATTCTGAAGTTGCAATATTGCACATGATTGCAGTATTCACTTATTTATAGATGAATGACATGTACAGGCTCAACAGTTCTCATTATACAGTCTGACAGCAGCAGGAAACCTCTCCTTCCCACAGCGAGGATGAAAGGGGTGCAGCTTTAGTCTTTCCATTAACACGACTCCCATTATTTAAGATAATAGAGACGCACTTAAGGTTGTACTGTATATAACGAGTACAAGGCTCAGAATTCGTAATTCTTTACATAAAGAGAGCTGGAGGTTGATAGTATTTGTAAAGAAAGGCCGTACAAATGGAAATGGTAGTCCAAGATCCAACATTTACAGAAATCCCCGTAAACAAGATGTAGGTGTGAAAGCCCAATGTTGGGGGTTTGTGCTTGTATATCAAGTTGAAATTATTGATCATATTTTCCCCACTGTGGAACAAAAAAAGGATCTCCTAATATTAAATATTTTAATTATTGTTCATACCATTAAATGCATGCAATTTTCAAAAGGAAAGTCTAATGGTGCATTTTTCATTGCAATTTCCACCATCAACCACCACAAATTCTCACACAGAATAGGGCTGGAAAGTCTCGTCCCAGGAGCACTTCCGGTTCATTGCTCAGATACAAACAAACCGTCAGCTGTTCGAAGAGGCGGTTTAAGTGAATGGTGCATAATGCTCTGCTTTGTTTTCGGCTGTAATCACAGTTTACGCGACACATGCTCATTCTTTAGGTTTCCCAAAGCTGTGGGAAAAGCTTTGCAGTTCTGATAAAATATTTTGTCTGATTTCAGAGACAGTTAACTTGAACATGTATTCAAGCTAACTTGTAGCTAATGCTAACCTGTAATAGTGCGCGGCCAAGCCTTTAATTGTGGCTTGTATTTTAAGATAAGAAACTTTATTGATGTCACACAGGATAAATATTGTCTCTCAAATATTTATCTATTTGAGAGATAAAGGAGGAACATATTAACACGTATTAAATAACATTTAACAAATGTTCAAATATAACAGAAAACGAACAATCATTCGTATTAAATGAATAGGTAGCCCAACTACATCATGTTATTTTTGACAGCACAGCAAAAAGGAAAAAGGCCCAATGTGAAGCTGCAGTGAGTGTGAAGTGGAGAATGAGCTGATGAACAGATAGAAAACTGATCATTCATATACATTGGCTTATAACCAAAGCAGCAAAGATAGCTGTAAGGGACAACATCAATTTATTTGCATAGGAATAGTGTTTCTATATTTTTCTGATGCGTGATAGTGGATTAAAATACAATGAGTTTGAACCATAGACTGTATGTTTGAACACGGCCCTGTGCCTTTCTCATCTCCCCGTCATATGGAAACGTCAGCACATGGCCAGTTCACAGCTAATTCCGACCGCTCACTCAGTTTTTCTGTCCCAGAGACAAAATGTGTCCAAAATAACACAGGAAAGTCCATTAACGAGGAAGAAGTCGGCGATCTCCGCACCATACAACTGGCACGTGTGGTTTGTTTGTATCCACGGGTGGAAATCTCGCAAAATCTCGCACTTCCGCTTTCCAGCCCTTTATTGGCCACCAGTTATTGAATTAACTGGTGAGGTTAAAATGAGCAGCCATGGAATGTTATACATAATCTTGAAAAAACTTTAAACTAAATTAAATTCATTCTGAACATTGAAACCAAGATGCTTGAATAATACAAATAATTCAGTTCAATCCAAGCAAAACTGAGCCTTTTATTCAGACAAATCAACTGGTACTGTCAAACTAGAAATAAAAAATTCAATACAAAAATCTATGACCAATAGAGCAGTATGAGAGAACTGATAATATTCTCCAGACCGCTGTAGATGACTTATTCCCAACTGATGCCAGAGTTTGTCTTCAAAATAGCTATAAGGTTTAGTCTGTGCTCCAGTAAAAGAGCAGTATGACTAAAGTTTACCATCTGAGTGTCTTTATAGCCACAGTTATCTTTCCTGAGGCGGTTTTTGGAGTTATAAAAACAGGAAAACTGTATTAAAACCTTATCTCAGCTTCAATTGAATAAACAGAGGCACAGAATGTCATTTTATTCAGTTTTCATGACTTCTGGGTGAAGTTATATCTATCTGGAATGTGTGCTTTTTTCTATAAATACACAACAGTCCAATCCCATTTCAACCTTTCAGAACTACTTTTTTGGGCAGGCCTGTTATCATTTATAGAAATAATTATCTTACGCCAGGGATCGGAGAAATAAAAGCAATACATGTCTCTATTGATGACATGACTCACAGCTTCTGCTGGTTTTGCAGGCGACAATCACATCAGTACTTCCTTTGTTACATAGTTTTAGATCAGTATTAATAACTCATACGTACAAAGATCAAGGCTATGCTCACACTCAGAGAGCAGCCGTCCTCCTGTGGACTCACCACCTGCAGAGGGTCAGTGAGGGGCTGGTGCTATGAGACTTGGGTGGCATCTCTGATTGCCACCCCCCTGACCCAGAAATGGATTAAAGGGTAGAAAATGGATGGATGGACGTACAAATCCTGATTTATGGGTGTTATAGAAGCAAACAAAACAAAACAAAGAGCCAAGTGGCAGTGCCCGAGTGGCAGAGCTGCTTCAAGAGCGGGAGGCCTATTTATAGACGCTTAATGACCAGGTGGGGACAGTGGCTCAGTTGGTAGAGCATCAGCCTTGGAGCCTGAAGGTCGAGGGTTCAAGCCCACCACAAGACCTACTTCACAACTCCCACTGATGACTGTTGTTGCTGTGTCCTTGGGCAAGACACTAAACCCCTGAAGCCACGGGCTGAATAATCAAGGCTCCTGTGGACTCACCACCTGCAGGAGGATCAGTGAGGGGCTGGTGCTCTCTGTACTGAGTGCAGCTCTGACTGCCATCCCCCCGACCCAGAAATGGATTAAGGGGAAGGAAAATGGATGGATGGATGGCATGACCAGGACGAAGTTAGGTCTAAGGTAAAGTAAAGTAGGTTAAGTAGTGATTTACATCGATCTTCCTTACAACAAAATGCTGTATATTATTTGTGTCAACAATACACGTTATGGATAAAAAGTTTTTTTAAATAAAATAAGTTGTAGCCTAGCCTACACCTTTCTGTGTTTAGTGAGGAAAGCCAACAGAGCAGTGGAAGGAGGCAGAATACAGGACTGTGTGAGATACAGCATTATCTCTGGGGACGCCTGCCAATAGCCTTGAGTAACCCATCACCAAAACCTGTCTGTGCATGTGCCTGTAGATCTATGCGCGTGTGTGAGTGCATGTGTTTGTGCGTGTGTGTGTGTGTGCATGAAAGTGTTGGCAAAAAAGACAGCGGGCAGTTGGAGGCTGACTCAGCTCGTTTCTCACTGCCCGCGGGCAGAGCTGCTGGAGCCTCCTGCGCTCTCACTCCTCTACAGCCGTGCTTTCACACACACCCCCTCTTCACGAACTGCCCACCAGAGACTAATGAAGACCCAGAACTAGCTGCTCTGTGCGGTCCCGTCCCATTTGTATAACAGGCAATAAAACGGGTTAACAGCGAGGTGGGATTTG